CTAGATTTATGTTTTCTAGAAAAAATTAAAATCTCTTTATTTTTGTTAGTTTTTTGAGGGTCTCCCTGTAGCCCCAGCTGTCCTGGAACTCACTATGTAGACCAGGCTGGCCTTGAACTCACAGGGATCCACCTGCCTCTGCCTCCCGAGTGCAGGGATTAAAGGCGTGCGCCAACACATCCGGCTTATTATTTTTATTTTATGTGTATGCTTGTATTGCCTGCATGTAAGTGCGCCCCTGTCGTGCAATGCTTGCGGAGGTCAGAAGAGGCTATTGGACCCCCTGGGACTGGAGTTATGGACAGTTGTTAGCTGCCAGGTGGGTGCTAGGATTCTAACCCGGGTCTTGGGCAAGAACAACCAGTGTTCTTAACCACTGAGCCGTCTCCCTATGTAGATGAGTCTGGCCTAGAGCTCACAGAGATCTGCCTGCTTGTGGTTCTCCAGTGCTGGGATTCAAGGCTGGTGCCACCATGTCCGGCAGTTGCAACTAGTTTCTAATCATTCCTATTCTTCCTGTAGGGCCTCTTTGGGTGGTAGGAGTTGTAGAAGTTCACACATTCCCCATATCTTTTGTAAACACTCAGCAGGAATTGCTCCTTAGCTGCTTCAGACACAAGTTCAGTTTTTGCATAAGTAATATATTAACATGGTCCAATTCCAAAGTTACAGAAGGTTAAAGGTTAAACAGTGGGACACTGCCCCCCCCCCCATTCTCCAGAGTATCTGCTCTGTCCCTAGGACAAGCTCTGTTAAATCTTCAGGTATCCTTACAGATACAGTTCCTGCAGATATTAGGACAGACTTTAAAATTTTTTTTTAATGTATTGCCTGCATGTATGTGAGTGCACCCATGTCATGCAGTGTTTCGGAGGTCAGAAGAGAGCTTCGGATTCCCCTGGAACTGGAGTTAAGGACGGTTCGTAGCCATGTGGGTGCTGGGAATCGAACCCGGGTCCTCTGAAAGAGCAGTCAGTGCTCTCAACCTCTGAGCCATCTCTCCAGCCTAGTCACTATATATACAGCAAAACAAAAACCACAAGGCATATAGAAAATGACATCTGAAAAGGTCCAAGCATGAACAAACTAGTGTTTTATATTTTACAGCTGCATTCCTCTACCTCCTTCAAACCACTGAACACAGACTACATACCCCTCACAGAGGTGGTTTCCAAATTCCATATCCACCAAACTATTATTATTACATTGAATTTTGGCAAAAAGATATTTACAAAGTGATTAAAAAATCTTATTTATTTTTATTATTTTATGTGTGTGTATTGCCTGCACGTGTGTGTTGCCTGCATGTGTGTAAGTGCACCAGTGTCGTGCAATGCCCTCAGAGGACAGAAGAGGCCATCTGATCCCCTGGAAGTGGAGTTTCAGACAGCTGTTAGCTGCCATGTGGATACCAGGATTTGGACCCAGGTCTTCTGCAAGAACAGCTGTGTTCTTTTTTAAAAAAATATTTTATTATTTTTATCTTATATGTATGAGTTTATTGCCTGCATGTATGTGAGGCACCCATGCCATGCAATGCTGCAGAAATCAGAAGAGAGCTTTGGATTCCCCTAGAACTGGAGCCAAGGACTGTTGTTCGTAGCCATGTGGGTGCTGGGAATCGAACCCGGGTCCTCTGAAAGAGCAGTCAGTGCTCTCAACCTCTGAGCCATCTCTCCAGCCCCTAGGACAGACTTAATTATTCATAGACAAAATTGGTTTGGAACAAAAGCTTTTAAAGATTCTTAGGATGCTCTGAAATCAACTGCATTAGATTTGAAGTTATTTTAAATACAAAGCATGTATCTCACATTTCTGTGTACTTTGCTATTGAGAAAACAGGTGTTCATTAGTAGTGACAGGCTCACTGATCATAAGTTTAGATTTGGACATTTTTGTCTGCTTGCTTCAGCCAGAAAGTCCTTTTTTTTGAAGCAAGACTGGCCAAAGCAATTTTAGAGTTCTATTTTTATGGCTCCCATTGTGTTGCATGGAACTGGTGTCACAGCCATGCGTGGGCTTCGTTGAAATAGCAGAAAGCCTGTTCTCTTGGTGTATGGAGTGCAGCAGTTCTGTGTGGGGCTGGCTCTGGTCTCAAACCTGGCATGATTTGGAGGGTCTGATAGTTATTAAGAAGCACTTGACATTTGCCTTTGGCATTTGTTCATTCTTGAGATCCCTGGCTGGAATCATTCATTTTATCAGTGATTGTGGGTCATCTCCTGTGTGCCAGGCACTGTTCTAGGTGCATGTGTTAGTAGGGAACAAAACTATGGCCTTAGGAAGCTAACATTGAAGGGACAGACAGAGCATCTTACTAGGTAAATGTTGGTAAGTGCAGCAGAGCAGGGGAGTAGGCTTGGAGATGTCAGGGCTAATAGAGTGCTGTTGTTCCAGACAGGGTGTTCAAGTAGTGTCCACTAAGATGAAGACCTGGACAAAGATCTGAAGAATCTAGGTGTAGCTGGAGTGTATCGAAAAGGGGTTCCATATGCCCACCAGGGAGCTTGTCAAAAGCGTTCCCATTTGAGGAACAGTGATGCCATTTGTGCAATGTGAGTTGAGCTAGGGGGCGGGGGCTATTGGTGGTAGGAGGGGAGGTCCAAGGGGTAGAGGGAAGCCATGCTGGGTCCACACCACCTTCCTTGTGGGTGGTATTAATTACCCTTTCTGTTGCTATGATAAAACACCATGACCAAAGAACTTACAGAAGGAAGAGTTTATTTGACCTACAGTTTTAGAGTCCATCCCGGTAGGGGCAGCTAGAGCAGAAAGCTGCAAGCTCACATGGTCCAGCAGGCACAGGAAACAGAGACAAACTGGAAATGGGGCAGGGTTAGAGCGCATCCCTAAGGACTGCTTCCTCCAGCAAGGCCAAACCTGCTAAATCTCCCAACACAGTGCACTGTCTGGGGACAGAGTGTTCACATACTTAGAACTCATGGGGGGCATCCGCATTAAAACACCATGCAGGTAGAGGAGACATTGCCGTTTTTAGAGAAATCACTAGAGAGTCTATCAGCGGCCTGGCCTGTTCCCGGTACCAGTTTAAATTGAGTAGTTAAACTGAGCAGGAGTGAAGAGGAGCAGCAGCAGTGGCCCCCAGTGTATCAGTGACCTGCCAAGTAAAGGGGTGACCGTGGAGTCTGTCGGGGTGGGGGCAGTGGCCAAGGTGGCAAGTGACTGGACTTGAGCTCTGCTAGGCCAACACAACAACACAAAAGTTGGATTTCATTGGCTAAGATTGCATTTAGTGGCAGAGAGCCGAAAACTCAGCTACAGGAGCTTAAACAGGCACCAGTGTGTGTTTCTTAAAAAATAAAGTGTGTCTGAGGAAGCTCAGCAATAGCATCAGGAACCAGACGCTTTCTTACATTTGCTTTGTAAGGCCCTGTCTGCGTTCTTGCCCATTTTTTAGTCATATGTCTTGTTGATGTGCGTCAGTTTCTTAAATTCTGGATACTCTGTTCTTATCAGATAGATGGTAATTTGGTAAAATTTTTATTTCTCTTATTTATTTGTTTATTTTGGTCTTTTTGAGACAGGGTCTCCCTGTAGCCCCAGCTGGCCTGAAACTCACTGTGTAAACCAGGCTGGCTTTGAACTCACGGAGATCTGCCTGCCTCTGCCTCCCGAGTGCTGGGATCAAAGGCATGTGCCAAGATGTCCAGCTTCTGTCTGTTTTTGAGACAGGGGCTTGTTATAGGGCTCTGGCTGGTCTAATATACTAGGTAGCCCAGGCTGACCTTATACTCTAATTCTCTTGGCATAGATTTCCAAGTGCTGGAATTATAGGCATGGCTCATCATGCCTGCTCATGTGTGTATGTGTGTCTCTCTGTGTGTTGTGTATGGTGTAAGTGTGTGCGTGGATGTGCACACCCATACATGGGCATGAAGATGCCAGAGAAGAACACCATGTCCTCTATCACTCCCTGCCTCTTCATTCCCTTGAGGCTGCATCTCTAATCGAACCTGAGGCTCAGTGCTCCTGTCAGGCTGGCTGCGCAGCAAGCTCTGGGGACCTGCCTGTCTCCACACTCCAGTGCTGAGGTTTTGGACAGGTTTTGCTTGGGTGTGGGACATTGAGACTCGGCTCCAAATGCTTGTACAGCAAACATTCTTACCCACTGAACTTCGTCCCCAGTTCCCTGACTCATAGTGCCCTTCAAAGCACAATAGCTTTAAAT